TTACCCCTATTATTTTACTTTTAAAACTTGTGCCAAACCCTATAGGGCCAACTAATGGAGAACGAAGGGAGTAATTGTTAGCCATTTTCATAATTAAATTCTTGGAAAATTATTGTCTATGAGATTAGAAAATAATTTAAGCCAACCATATTAAAGCACATTAATAAGGCCTAGAAATAGGATATTTTAATAAAAGGGATTTACATCTTGTCTATGAGAAATAAATTCAATTGCTTAAATAATGAGTTTAACTAGTTAATGAATTTGGCTATTTTTATTAATTTAAATATTGGAGAATTATTTCTACCTTGTCTATTGGATTAGAATTTAATTTAAGCCAACCATTTTAAACACATTAATGATACCTATAAATAGGATAAATTAATGAAAATAGTTTCTATTCTTGTCTATGAGGAAAGAAATTATTAGTCCAATTTTAATTTTAATTTCCCTAATTACTAGGTCCAAGAATATTCCATTTCTAATTACTCAATTCATTGCCCTTCTTTTATCATTCCATTTAGAATTTAATATGTCTTTCATTTAGTTTATATTTGAGCCATCATCAGTATTTGGATAAATTCAGTTAGTCTCTTTTTCAAAAGTAGTTTAGGAAATCAATCAAAAGTTTTAATTTGGAAAGCTTTCAATAATTTGCGTTAACCTGTGACTGGACTTAAAATCAAGAAACTCCTCCGCCATTCCTCAAGAGACACGATACTCGGGGGAAAACCGAAAGGTTTGACTCCGTTTTACTACAACGCCGTGAAAGCGGTTATCAGGTCTTTTTAAAGAATAGAGAAGCTAGAAGCCAGAAGCTAGAGCCTTTCGTGTGCCAAACATAGCCATAGAAACGGACGATTCTAATCGAAAACGCCGAATCGCTAATCCCGCAAAGAAATAGATTCTACCTGTAGATTGACTGCTCCTGCTACAATCACAATAATTATCAAAAGAACTCTTAAATATCCCGGTTTCTCCAGCCACCGGTAAGGAGCCAACTGTAGAATTTGTTCCGGTTTCACCAGCCACCGAAAAGAAAGCAATCCAAATGATCTCATCTTTCTGGAACGGCGGTGGTTCAGGAGGGGGGCGATCCGTCTCAATATCGGCGCAGAAGAAAAGTATGTTTTTGATTGATGAAGAGATCACTGGAAATCTCTTCTTAGCACACAAGAACGCCCGACCGAAAGTGACGGGGAATATGGACCTGGCAGACGATATTTTGCTACCGAAAATAATATCTCCAAACAACGTTGGGAAAGAAACAGATGAATAAAACTGAAAAGACTGATTAAGAAGATGTTTTTCTATTGTTGAAATCAAAGAAGATTGAAAGAAGAGAAAAAAGAAGAGAAAGGGAAGATACGGCGGCCAGGGTTTCCCCATGCCATTGTGGCTTTTCTCTCCGATTGACTCTTCACCTCTCTCAAGTTAAAGGTTAAAGTGATAGTTTTATGGTACTCCCTCCGTACCCAAATGTTCTTTTGAAAATTAAGTCAGTAGTCATCATTTGACCCGTGAGCTCACAAGTCCGTTCAAGCCTGCCCATCCCATTTACTAAAAAGCTCGACTTGATCCATGTGGACTATGTACATGTCAGCTCATCCCGCTATTTGAACGGCAAGACATGAGGTAGAGTATTTAAAACTCATGAAATTTCAATTCACACTTCCAAAATTACTATTCACAGTCCAAATTAAATTTTAATAAATAAAAGTAATTTAAATTTTCTAAATTACTCTCACCAAAAACCGTAACCAAAGCCAAAGATGAGAAGAAAGCCAAGCCAAAATGGTGGGCAGAGCAGATACAATATTCTTAGGTGTTGAGGAGGTCATTCATGATATAATGACGAGATGATGATGAGCGATGGTCACCATCCGGGAAAGGAATGGCGAACTTGGTCGCTAGATCAGGACATTCGACGTTGAGGGCTTGTCTTGAGATAGATAATCACGCCGAGGCCGAGGACCTCAGCGTGATATGAGGACGTGGGCGCTTAGAGGGCCTATCCGAAATATGATGACGAGGCGATGATGAGACGGTCGTCATATGAAAGCGATGGTTGCCATTCGGGATGGGAGTGGCGAGCCTGATTGCTAGATCAAGACATTCAGTGAGGAGTCGATCTTGAGATAGATAATCACGTTGTGGCCGAGGGGCCGGCCGTGATATGAGGACGTCGGCGCTGAGGAGCCGGTCCAAAATATGATGACGATGTGTTGTGGAGCCGGTCGTCATATGAAGGCGACAATCACCACCCCCGAAAGGACGACGAGTCCGGTCGCTAGCTCCATACATTCAACTCTGATGAGTCGGTCTTAAGATAGATAATGGCGTGGCCGAGGGCTGGTCGTGATATGATGACGTCGGCGCTGAGGAGCCGGTCGTCATATGAAGGCGATGGTCAACATCCGAGAAGGGATGGTGTCACGCCCCGGACCTACCGGACACGTCAACAACCCGCCGTACAGTACGAATAGTCAACCGCAGTCCAACTCATCCATACTATACTAGGCGTCTTGAATACCATTCACACATAGTACATCCATAAACAAACATAATGTGAAATATTCATTTAATGCAGCGGAAACATTTAATACAAGTGTTTATGCCACACTTTGGCAACCATGGGCATACAAGCCCCCAAATAATTATTCAAATAAATTTCCATGAGCATTATTTAAATTTTAAAATGTTTTCAAAACAGGAACGGAAGAGGCACGAACCACGTCTCCCTCCTTTGATCTCCCCGAAGTAACGGGCAGTGGTAGCAACCTTCAAGTCCTACCTGAAACTGTGAGGTGGCCTCCCTCGTGAAGGGGAGGTCAGTACTTGGAAGCATTTGACAAGTACAATGACAACTATACTAAGTATAATCAATGTTTCAATTTCTAAGACCCTCAAATAGAGTGATATCATAATATAATGATAGTTCTTCTTTAACCCTTATTATCTTCATAATAAGTTAATTAATTAATTTGTCGGCACACGGCCCCTTTTTATAATTTATTTCATTCATCGTTTACACGATACCGCCCATAGGTCTTATCATCCTTACGAGACTTGTCACCGCTCTCCGAGGCCTCATCGGGCCCTCGGGCCGGAGTCCAACATCCCGCCCCTGAACTCATACCCATCATCCCGTAGGAAGGTGAGGTCCATTCGGGGTCCTATCTTAAGTGTTACCGTTGTCGGGAGCCTCGTAAGGTCTCCGGTTCGGATTCCACCCTAACCCGTGATCACGATGTAAGTCCATGCTATCCAACCCCGCTCTCTAGAGTCGGGAAGGGCCATGGTCCTTACTATTTACCAATATTCAACCGGTTATCCTCAAGGACTACCGAAATACACCCGTAGGCCAATCCTACATCTAGGATCAATTTATTATTCACTTTAACTTGGGTATCCCTTAAGGCCTACCCCTAGTATAACTTAAAGTTCATACTTATCCACCTTAGCATCTCTTAAGACTACTTAAGGCTCCACATCTCACAATCCAAACCTTGGATCAATTCTAGTATATTCTTATTCCAATACCCCGACTAGTATCTTAATACTAGTCGGATAAATTCCAACAAAACCAAATTTGAGTTCATAGTCATATAGACACATTCCAAACTAATTTTCCATTGAAAATATAGTTCACATCAATATACAAAATATAACTTTTAATCACTCATATACTCTTATATGAAGTAAAAATTATATTTCAACATATAGTTTATAGTTAATTCCTTTATCAAGCCAACATGCTTATATCACATAATCATACACAATTTATTCTTAAATTTGCATATTATGTCCCTTTTCCTTATAGAAAATAGTCTTCTCATTCTTAGGCATTATTAATCATTAATAATCCTTAAAAACATATTTAATTACCTTAGGTAATCTCATGAAATTAACTCACTAATTATAAGCAATATAGTCAGCCATCCTCACCTCGCGATGTGCTCAACTAGTTGCCTTTGCGGAGTCCTCCGATAAATCCTTGTTTTTGGCTGATTACACCAAAGATCCTGGACAGGAGCTGAAAGCCGCCCGGCTTTCACAAAAGCCGCCCGGTGTTCGTGTTCTGCAGGTTCGAGCAGTTCACTTTTAAGTGGCGGTTTCCGGCGATTTCGACTCCTATCGATTCACCAACTCTTCTAAGTTAATTAACACCACTTTATATCAATATTCTACACTTTTAAACGTGTAGTACTTCATTTTGTAATTCACCATATGATTTTCTTAAAAATCATACTACAAAAACTTGTTAAAAGAATAGTAGTGGAGTTCTTACCTTGAACTCAAACTATATCTCGTTGGATTTCTTCCCTCTTGCTTCCTCCAAGCTAGAACTATGTGAAGAGCTTCCCTAGAGCCTCTCACCCTTGTCTTTGGTCGAATGGTTGAGAGTTAAGGAGGAATATCTATTCTCACTCAACTTGAGAGATATTTGCAAGAGTAAGACAAATGAGGGGGGTGGGTTTTGTCTCCAATCACTCCCTTGAGCATGTGTCCGCCCCTCCCATGTTTTTGTGTCTCATCTACACTATTTGGAGTCTACAACACATGTGGGGAAAGTCTCAAGTGGGTGTAGGAAGTTTCCCCCGATCATTTCCGCTATTTCTGGCAGGTTGGGTCAAAATAGTACTTGGGTTGGCCCAATATTTTCCCCAACCCCGGTTGGCATTTTATTGGGCTTCTATAATTATTATAACAACCCAACTAAATATTTGGTAGCACATTCTCAATATTATGGGCCCGATAAATAATTTAATTAATCATTCATTAATTAAATATTGTTGAAATATAATTGAATTAGTCATCTTCTAACTATTCCTGATTAGGAATTATTATCACCATTACATAAATAATTAGGAAATCATAATTGTGATTTCAAGGTGATAAATGTGTGGCTCACAATGATCTCCTAATCTCATTGAGCTCACATTTTCTCCTATAAATAGGAGTCATTCTCATTGTAATTAAGACACCATTACAACACCATTATCACACTCTTAATAACATCTTTTTCACTAAGTGTTCATACTATACTTTCTCTCCCTGATCTTCTGCTTATTTCCTTCCATATTATAACACGTTATCAGCACGAATTTGCTCCAAATCCTGGAATCATCATCTTCCCAGCAGGTATAATTTTCAGTGATTGATTCTACTAATCTGAGAAAAGAAGAAGTGGAAATTAAAAGTATGATCATGTATATACTACGTATACATATATACATTCAAAACTATAAAAGTATGCTCTGTTGTTGCCAATGATTTGGATCCTCCACATCAGAAAATTATAGTTATATTTATATTTCAGCTGAAAATGAAGAAGGCACACGAAATTATTTTTCAAAGTATGTTCTACGAAGTTAATCATTATAAGTTTATTTTCAAGAAATAAACTAATATAAGTAATATACTTGTAAATACTCCATACGGAGTATTATTTAAGGATTAATGAATAAATAAAACATGCCTTCTGAAATACGGAGTTCCGAGTATAAAGTGTGAAGTATCTACTATTTCTCCGGCCAACTCCTTGTTCGTCACCATGTCATGTCTCAGCTCAGAATTTCTAAACTACAAAAAACAAGATAAGGGCACTTCCCGATTCTTCAAAGATATGAACCATACATATATGTGTACTACATAATACTAAGTCTGTCTATGGGTAATAGATAAGGACTAGTTATGGGTCTCTCCATGTGGGTGGATACAGCTCATGTATGAGCTTAACTAGGAGCCCCACAAATTTATTATTGCTATTATAAATTGCATTCATATAATTATATAAACTACAGTACTACGTATTAATTACTAATATCACTCCTCAACCCTGTAAATAAATACGGAGTATTACGTAAACTATACTACGTAAGTTATGCATCTCAAATCCATACAATGTGTGTATACATATTAAGTCAGTGATGATACTCCAGAATAATCGATTGAATATTATGGGTAAACACTAAAAATAAAATACTAGAGAGATATAAATAATATGGATATATGCCTTAGAAACTGAAACTCTTAACTTTCATTTGAACTATGAGCAATTCAAACTGAAAGAACACTGAAAGAAAATCTATGTAAAAGTGACGGACTAATATGCTTTCATAAGAACTTGCTCCGATCCAAATATATATTTTTGGCTTTACTTCACGTGAGCTTGCTCCCTCACGGCCTCATCACTGCTTTGAAGTCTAAATATTTTAAAGGTTTCAAAAGACAATGAATTTAATGCTATTGGTTGTACACTACTGAAACTGGACAATAATGCAGTCCTGATGCTTCACGTGATTTCTTTTAGAATTACTACTCTGTTATGTTAACAAAATCTCTGTGAATGAGCAGCAAGATTTTTGTTACTATTACTCTGTTATGGATTTATCTAAATAGATAAAGGCAAATCACGTACTATAAAAAAAATGACTATACACGTATCAATCTATAGAATACTAGTATATATATTTACTCTTACTAATTAAACTTAAATTCATAATTTATGTAGTTTAATGGCACATATTAGCAAAAGAGAGTTCGACGTCCTTGATTTATCTGGCCAAAAGTATTTGGAATGGAAAGTCGACGCTTTGGCACATTTGAAAGCAAATGCCCTTGAAAATACAATTGCTGAAAATAATTCAGCCACTCCCCAAAATAAGGCAAAAGCCATCATCTTTCTTCGCCATCATCTTCATGAAAGTTTGAAATCTGAGTATTTATTGGTAGATGACCCTAAAGAATTATGGGATAATCTCCAAGAAAGGTATGGCCATCAACAAAAGGTCCTTTTACCAAAAGCTCAATATGACTGGATCAATTTACGATTCCAGGATTACAAATCTGTAAGTGACTACAATTCTGCTTTGTTCCAAATAACATCAAAACTAAAGTTATGCGGACAAAAAGTCACTGATGCTGAAATGTTGGAGAAAACTTTGTCCACTATGCATGTTTCAAATGTGCTTTTACAAGAGCAATATAGACAAAAGCATTTTCAAAAGTATTCTGATTTGATATCAGTATTACTATTTGCTGAGATGAATACCGACATTTTGATGAGAAACCACAATATGAGACCCACGGGTTGTAGCCCGGTTAGTTTTGGTCCACCAAATCATGGTTCAAAACATGAATCAAATGCAACCCATAGTGGTGCTCGTGGACATTTCAAACGTGGTCGTGGTATTGGTCGTTATAATGGACCTAGCCGGGGAAACAAACAGAGTAGTAGCTCATTTTACAAAGGCAAGGGTAAGCAAAACCGCCATCAAACAAAGAGCCCGACGAAATCTTCAGAAAAGACCAAAGTCACTTGCTTTAAGTGTGGCACGTCGGGACATTGGGCAAATAAGTGTCGTACACCTAGACACTTGATTGATTTATATAAATCATCTCTAAAAGGAAAGAATGTGGAAACTAATTACGTCAATGAAAATGATCCACCAATGCCCACATTCAATGTGTCTGATTTCTATATGGACGATAATGAGATGAACACCGACATCATTATGGGTGAAAAATAATAAATAAGTAAATAAAAAGGAATTTGAAATAATTCTGTTATGTAATATATTCTACAATAAAAGTTTGTTTGTATTGTAATTTTTATTTGGTGTGCTTATTTCGATTGTAAATGTTATGTACATTTTAATGAATAAAGCCTTGTTTATATTACAGTATTGAACTAATATTTGTTCATTTTTATCTTTTCGAAGATATGGAGTTAACTAAAATTTCTCTAAGTGGCTCTGAACAATGTCTAATAGACAGTGCCACAACGCACACCATTTTGAGACATAGAGATTATTTTTCTCATATGACATTAGTTGATGCTAATGTCAATACAATCTCAGGTGTTGCTAAACTCATTGAAGGTTCTGGAATAGCCTGTGTGATTCTCCCAAAAGGGACAAAATTAATAATTAAAGACGCTTTATACTCCAGTAAATCACGGAGAAATCTTTTGAGTTTTAAAGATATGCGTCTAAATGGTTTTCATATTGAAACCATGTCTGAAAATCAGAAGGAATATTTATGTCTAACGACAAATAGATCTGGCAATAAATACATTTCTGAAAAAATGCCAGCATATTCCTCGGGACTGTATTATACATATATCAGTCCAATTGAGATAAATGTGGTATCTAAAATTTATGACCACTATTCTTTTATCTTGTGGCATGACCAGTTAGGTCATCCATGCAGCACTATGATGCACAAAATTATTCAAAATTCACTTGGACATTCATTAAATAATGTCAAAATTCCGCAATCAAGTGATTTTCAGTGCACTGCCTGTTCTCTTGGCAAATTAATTATCAGGCCATCTTTATTTAAAATTGGAGTTAAATCTCCTGCATTTTTAGAAAGAATTCAAGGAGATATTTGTGGGCCAATTACCCCTCCGTGTGGACCGTTTCGATATTTTATGGTGCTCATTGATGCATCAACACGTTGGTCACATGTCAGTCTTTTATCGACTAGAAATTTTGCATTTGCAAATCTCCTTGCTCAAATTATTCGTTTGAGATCACAATTTCCGGATTATTCAATAAAGAAAATCCGACTTGATAATGCAGGAGAATTTACATCCCAATCTTTTAATGACTATTGCATGTCAATTGGGATTGATGTGGAACATCCAGTTCCACATGTACATACACAAAATGGTCTTGCCGAATCCTTAATTAAGTGATTACAATTAATTGCTAGACCATTATTGATGAAATCCAGATTACCATCATCTGCATGGGGATATGCTATAATGCACGCTGCAAATTTAATTCGGCTTAGGCCAACGACATATCATAAATTTTCCCCATTACAATTAATATCTGGTAAAGAACCAAATATATCACACCTAAAAATATTTGGTTGTTCTGTGTATGTACCAATTGCTCCACCTTATCGTACTAAAATATGTCCTCAAAGAAGGCTGAGAATTTGTGTTGGTTTTAAATCACCCTCAATTATTAATTATCTAGAACCTATGACCGGTGACTTATTCACCGCGCGGTTCGATGACTGTCATATTGATGAGACAGTATTCCCAGCCTTAGGGGGAGATATTAAAGAAATGGACCCACTTATGAAAGATATTACTTGGAATGCAACAAATTTATCTTTTCTTGATTCTCGCACAAATGCTTGTGAACAAGAAATTCAAAAGATTATTCATTTACAAAATGTTGCAAACCAATTGCCTGATGCTTTCACAGACTCAAAGAAAGTGACAAAGTCACATGTTCCAGCTATGAATGCTCCTTCTCGAATAGAAATTCCTGCGGAGATTAGCGAAAGAACACTTGCTAATGAATCTATGATACGTAAAAAACGTGGTAGACCACTTGGTTCAAGAGATTTGAAACCAAGAAAATTTAAACAGCAAGTTGTAGTTTGTGATGCCAAAGAAGTTCAACCTTCTCAACAAGAAAATGAACATTTTGAAAATATCGGCCTTGAAGATAACATCAACAATAATGATACCTCAAAAGAGGATCCAATCACCTTCGAAGAGGTAAATATTCCAGATAAAGATAGAAACGTCGATAATTTTGAAATTTCAATTAATTACGTTTCTAATGGAATACAATGGAATAGAAATGATATTGATGTTAATGATATATTTTCATATGCCATCGCCACAGATATAATGAATGAACACGATGACAATGAGCCTAAATCTATTGACGAATGTCGTCGTAGAAATGATTGGCCAAAATGGAATGAAGCAATTCAGGTAGAATTAAAATCGCTAGAAAAGCGTAATGTTTTTTGGACCAATTGTCCATACGCCAAAAGGCGTAAAACCTGTCGGTTTTAAATGGGTTTTTGTGCGTAAACGCAACGAGAAAAATGAAATCGTTAGATACAAAGCCCGACTTGTTGCCCAAGGTTTTTCTCAAATGCCAGGAATCGATTATGATGAGACGTATTCTCCAGTAGTTGATGCTACAACTTTAAGATTTTTAATTGGCATGTCTGTTTTTGAAAGGCTGCAAATGCGCCTAATGGATGTGGTGACCGCATATTTATACGGTTCACTCGATACAGACATATATATGAGAATTCCTGGAGGTTTTAAAATACCTGATGCTTATAGCTCGAAATCTCGAGATTTATTTTCCATAAAATTGCAAAAGTCATTATATGGATTAAAACAATCTGGACGCATGTGGTATAACCGTCTCAGTGAATATTTGATTAAAGAAGGGTATAAAAATGATCCTATTAGTCCATGTGTTTTCATTCAACGATCCGAATCAGGATTCGCCATAATTGCAGTATATGTTGATGATTTGAATATAATCGGAACTCCTAATGAAATTGAAAATACTGCAAAATATCTCATGAAAGAATTTGAAATGAAAGACCTTGGGAGAACAAAATTTTGTCTCGGCATTCAAATTGAACATTTGAGAAATGGTATTTTCATCCACCAATCAAATTATACCGAGAAACTTTTGAAGCGATTTTACATGGATAAAGCACATCCGCTCAATTCTCCAATGGTGGTTCGATCTCTCAATGTGCATGATGATCCTTTCCGACCTTGTGAAGATGATGAAGAAATCCTTGGTCCCGAAATACCATATTTGAGTGCTATTGGAGCATTAATGTATTTGGCTAATAATACTCGACCAGATATTGCTTTTTCTGTAAATTTATTAGCCTGGTACAGTTCTTCCCCAACAAGAAGGCATTGGAATGGTGTCAAACATATATTCCGATATCTCAATGGTACAATCGATCTTGGATTGTATTTCAAGAATGGTGCAAATGCCACTTTAATTGGCTACGCGGATGCAGGATACTTGTCTGATCCACAAAAGGCAAAATCACAAACAGGATATTTATTCACCTATGGTGATACCGCTATATCATGGAGATCAATGAAGCAAACATTAACTGCAACATCATCAAATCATGCAGAATTAATTGCTCTTTATGAAGCAGGTCGTGAGTGTGTCTGGTTGAGATCAATGATCCAGCACATACAAAATGAATGCGGTATAAAATCTTTTACTTCTAATCCTACTGTGATTTATGAAGATAATACAGCATGTATAGCTCAGATCAAAGGAGGTTACATCAAAGGGGACAGAACAAAGCATATAGCACCAAAACTTTTCTCCACACATGATCTTGAGAAAGACGGAACGGTTGATGTCAAACAAATCAAGTCATGCGACAACCCTGCTGATTTGTTCACAAAGTCATTTACACCGAAGAAATTTGAAGAACTGGTCCATAAAATTGGAATGTATCGTCTTCGAGATATATGTTAAATTGAGGGGGAGTAATATAGGGCTGAGCACGGGTCGGGTTCGGGCGGGTCGGGTCTGTGTACCCTAAACCCGTTCGGGTTTTTTAAGTTAAATACTAGGCCCGACCCTTAGATATTTCAAATCGGGTTTTTCGGATATTTGTAAGTCGGATATTATCGGATATCGGATCGGGTTTCGGATATTTCGGTTATATTAAAAAATATATAATTGGATAATTAAAGTGTTTGAATGCCACTTTGACAAAAATTCTACAAACTAGTGCACTAAACATTCAAATTACGCAAATAATTTAATGCAAATTGCATATATAATTACATAAATAATTGAATACAAGTATTAATTTAACATATTCAAAGTACACACTACATAATTTAATATATTTCGGATATTTCGGTTATATTAAAACACATTATAATTGGATAACTAAAGTGTTGGAATGTCACTTTGACAAAAATTGTACACACTAGTGCACTACACATTCAAATTACAAAAATAATTTAACACAAATTGCACAAATAATTACACAAATAATTGAACACAAGTATTAATTTAACATATTCAAAGTACACACTAAATTATTTAATATATTTTGGATATTCGGGCGGGTCGGGTTGAGATTTTACAAACCCTACCCGCCACCCGATCTAGGCCCAATACTAATCGGATTTTCGGTTTCGGGTTTTTCGGGTCGGATATCCATTTCGGTTCGGATAATATCCGAAAAAAACTTCGGGTTTTGCGGGTCGGTTCGGGTTTTGCTCAGCCCTAGAGTAATATAATGCACTGCACTCTTTTTCCCTTCGTCAGGTTTTTATCCCACTGGGTTTTTCTTGACAAAGGTTTTTAACGAGACAGTACATTATAATACTATGAAACTAATACCCCAGAATAATTAGAAGATGACCATTCAAGGGGGAGTGTTGAAATATAATTGAATTAGTCATCTTCTAACTATTCCTGATTAGGAATTATTATCACCATTACATAAATAATTAGGAAATCATAATTGTGATTTCAAGGTGATAAATGTGTGGCTCACAATGATCTCCTAATCTCATTGAGCTCACATTTTCTCCTATAAATAGGAGTCATTCTCATTGTAATTAAGACACCATTACAACACCATTATCACACTCTTAATAACATCTTTTTCACTAAGTGTTCATACTATACTTTCTCTCCCTGATCTTCTGCTTATTTCCTTCCATATTATAACAAATATGTCATTCTTTTACACGAAAATATTCGCTAGAAAAATTCAAATACATACTGAATATTAAATTCAAGTACATCCGGGTGTGGTGTCACAAGTTCACCCCCCCCCCCTCTTAACGGGAATTTCGTCCCCGAAATTCACAAACGCTTATTCGAAAAGAAATGCATATTGTTCCTTCATCAAGGCTTCCGTTTCCCAAGTTTCTTCTTCCACTCGGTCACTCTTCCAAAGGATTTTAACCATTGGAACTTTCTTGCTTCTTAGCTTCTTTACTTGCCTATCAAGTATCCTCACTGGTCGAACGGCATAGTTCAAGTCCTCACGTATCTCCACGGGTGGTTTGTCCAATACGTGAGACGGATCCGGCATGTATTTCTTTAGCATAGATACGTGGAACACATTATGTATCTTTTCCAATTCTGGAGTCAACTGAAGTCGGTATGCCACGGCCCCAATTCTTTCAAGAATCACAAATGGCCCTATATATCGTGGGTTAAGTTTCCCTCGGCTCTGAAATCGGATGATTCCCTTCCAAGGTGAAACTTTCAAAAATACCTCATCTCCCACCTTAAACTCCAAGGCTCTTCGGCGCTTATCGGCATAGCTCTTCTGTCTATCCTGGGCCGCCTTAAGTATCTCTCGAATCATCTTCACTTTTGACTTGGTGATCTCCACCAATTCCGTGCTCTCGAGCTTGGCCATGCCAACCTCATCCCAACACAACGGTGTACGACATTTCCTCCCATACAATGCCTCGTATGGAGGCATGCCAATACTCGCCTGATAACTGTTGTTATAGGCAAACTCTACAAGTGCTAAGTGGTTGTCCCAACTTCCTTAGAACTCCAATGCACAAGCCCTCAACATATCCTCTAAAATCTGTATGACCCTCTCAGATTGTCCATCCGTCTGTGGATGAAAAGCAGTGCTAAACTTCAATCTCGTTCCCATAGACTCTTGGAACTTCGGCCAAAATCGTGATGTGAATCGTGGATCCCTGTCGGATACAATGGTTATAGGAACCCCATGTAGCCTCACGATCTCATCCACATACAATTTGGCTAACCTCTCGAGTGCATAGGTAGTGTTGATAGGTAGAAAATGTGCACTCTTCGTGAGCCTATCAACCACAACCCATACGGCATCATAATTCCTCACCGTCCGTGGTAGCCCCACCACGAAATCCATAGTCACGTGCTCCCATTTCCATTCAGGAATGGGTAGTGGCTGCAATAACCCAGTTGGATGCTGATGTTCTGCCTTAACTTGTTGACAAGTAAGACATATATTGATGTACTCGGTTATTTCCCTCTTCATACCAGACCACCAGTAACTTTCTTTCAAATCACGGTACATTTTTCGTACCTCCCGGGTGCATAGCATACGCCGATGAATGAGCCTCCTCTAAGATGGGCTTTCGGAGCTCCTCATCCGATGGTACACACACTCGGTCACGAAATAATAAGAGACCATCGTCTCTTTCCCTGAAATCCTCAACCGGTCCCGCTAGCATGCGTTCACGGACCTTCATAAGCTCTTCGTCAGTTTCTTGACCCTTCTTGATCTCATCAAGAAATGTAGGTCTCACCTCGAATCTAGCTAACAAGGCACCATCGCTAGATACCTCCAATTGGGCTCTCAATGCCCTCAAACTAGTCAACAATGCCCCAGACGAACTCTTTCGGCTCAAGGCATCAACTACCACGTTGGCTTTACCGGGGTGGTACTCAATAAATAGATGGTAGTCTTTTATCAACTCCATCCATCGTCTCTGTCTCATGTTTAACTCTTTCTGAGTAAACACGTACTTCAGGCTTTTGTGGTCAGTATATATGTGACATGTCTCCCCGTAGAGATAATGTCTCCAAATCTTCAGTGCGAATACCACTGCTCCCAACTCTAGATCATGAGTAGGATAATTTACCTCATGCTTCTTCAATTGTCGTGAAGCATAGGCAATCACCCTCCCATTCTGCATCAACACACATCCAAGCCCTTGGATGCTCGCATCGCTATAGACATCGTACCCCATACCTTGTTTGGGTAATGCAAGTACCGGTGCCTCGGTCAATCTCCTCTTTAGTTCCATGAACCCTTTCTCACATTTGTTATCCCATACAAACTTAGCTCCCTTACGAGTGAGCTTCGTCAATGGTGATGCCAAAACAGAGAACTTTTCCACGAACTTCCTATAGTAACCCGCCAATCCAAGAAAACTACAAATTTCCTTGACGTTCTTTGGCCTCTCCCATTCGGTAATGGCTTCTATCTTCTTGTTATCAACAGCAATTCCCGATCCCGAAACTACATGCCCGAGAAAGCCAATCTCCTTTAGCCAAAATTCGCATTTAGAAAATTTGGCGTAGAGTTGTTTCTCCCGTAGTGTCTCAAGAACAAGTACCAAGTGCTGCTCATGCTCTTCTTCACTCTTTGAGTAAATCAAGATGTCATATATGAACACAATCACGAAGTGGTCCAAGTATTTGTGAAATACTCAGTTCATCAAGTCCATGAATGCCGCCGGGGCGTTTGTTAACCCAAACGACATAACAAGGAACTCAAAATGCCCATACCTTGTGCGGAAAGCACTCTTTGGTATGTCATCTTCCTTAATCTTCAATTGATGGTACCCCGACCTCAAGTCAATCTTTGAAAACACAGTTGCTCCACGGAGTTGATCAAACAAGTCATCAATCCTAGGTAAAGGATACCTAATCTTGATTGTGACCTTGTTCATTTGACGATAGTCGATACACATTCGGAGTGTCCCATATTTCTTTTCCACAAAAAGAACTAGTGCTCCCCACGGGGAGTGGCTTGGTCTAATGAAACCGTTATCCAAAAGCTCTTGCAATTGGGTTTTCAACTCGTTAAGTTCAGCGGGTGCCATACGGTATGGCGGTATAGAGATTGGTTTGGTGTCGGGCTCGACCTCGATCACGAACTCAATCTCCCTATCGGGTGGAAGTCCCGGTAAGTCTTTAGGAAAGACATCCAGATACTTTCACACTACCCTCACTTCATCAATGTTCGTCTCTTCTTTGGTATTGTCTACCACATATGCTAGATATGCATGGCAACCCTTTCTCATCATACTCCTAGCTCTCACGGCGGATATGATACAACTATTGGATTTAGCCCTATCCCCCTCGAAGCGTAAGGTTAAACCTTCCTTGCCTTCGAGTTCAAGTATCTTTGTGTAGCAATCAACCCTAGCATGATGCTTCTCAAGCCAATCCATCCCCAGGATTGCATCGAATTCAATCATACTCAGCGGTACGAAATCACACGTCAAGCTTTGGCCCTCCACTTCCACCTCACACGATGGATAATGGCTATTTCTCTCGACGTCTTCCCCTAGAGGTGTGGATACCAATAAGGCTTGAGCCATCGGTACAAGTGGTTCATTGAATCCCCCGGCAAACACCTCACTCACGAATGATCGTTGCGCCCCGGTGTCAATAAGGATTCTTGCGTCTCTCCCGTTAATCTTTAGTGTTCCTACATTCATAAGCAATGTAAGACACACCTCCCTATTTAATAGACTCGTTTCTTAGGTTGTAACTTACATCGGTTATGGTTTCGGTGTTCGTTGTTTGACGCCCCATCGCAAACCCATCCCGGTTCCCACCTTAAAAATCAACATTGTGCACCAATAGGGGAAAGCCGGCCGCTTTTTATGAAAGCCGGCCAGTTTTCGTACCCTGGCCATCATCTCG